AGACTGTTGTCTCTTATGACATGTCTTTACCATTTCAAATTTTTCTTCTGCGAAATGGTGGTTAGGTGGTCTTCCACTGGATCTGTTTCTTGCTTGATGATGGTGTATCGCAATGAACTTGTCGGAGTTAACTCCTCCTTTAGTTCGTTAACCCTTTCACTAGGGGTCTCTCTTCCCCGGCTATAAACACTCGCTGACCCTTCGCCTCTTCCTCTTTTTTCTCAGGCTTTCAGTCTTACCACCTCGCAGATGTGAACGCTCACAGATACAGCGTTTCCCAAATGCTGGGAACACGCTAAGAACAATACACGTACGTACGAACACTCACCACAACACAACACACACATATAATATTCACCACACGCACTCTGTTCATGTAACTGTCCATATAACTTGTAACCTTTCTTGTTATTAATACATATATTTGTATACATATATTTATCGGTCTTGTTTGTTTTCCTTGCCTTCTTTGGACTTAATTAAAGTCCAACTTTCTCATGTAGTTGGACCGGCTATCAGGAAAATCTTAACCCACATGTGTTCTTTTACTTCTACTCAACAACATCGCCGACACGGTGCACTGCAAACTATTTGTGATGCAGTCTACATAGGAAATGCCTATGACAGTTCTGTAATATCTCATTTGTAATGCTTGGATTCCTTGCTGTAATTCTGCTGTCAGTGTCCAAGATTTGTAAGTGCACAGAAAGATTTTGAAGGCCAATACATGCAGGTATTTGATTTTTGGAATCAGGTAGATCTATGTAGATGTCTGGGATGATTCTAAAGCATCTAATTTCTAATGCTTGGATCCTTTCATATAATTCTGCTGTTAATATCCAAGATTTGCAGTCATATAGAAAGATTGAGAAGGCCAATACATGCAAGTGTCTGATCTTTGATTTCAGGTAGATCTATGCAGATGCCGAGGATGATTCTGAAGCAAATCATTACTAATGCTTGAATTCTTTCACGTAATTCTGCTGTTAATGTCCAAAATTAGCAAAGCACACAGAAAGATTTATAAGGCTAATGTATGCAACAGTCAGATCTTGTTTGTTCTTGTATTTTTAGCTAGTTGCTATTTTATTTTTAAGAATTTTAATGCAGTTTGACTGACAGGTTCTGATTCAGCTGCACTTTTCAGTAAATACTACATTTTGGAATCATCATTTATTCCGTTTTTTTATAAAATTCTTTTAATTAAACAAATTTAAAATTTTCTGAGAAACAACGAAATACTTCTATAAAAGTAATATCCTGAGAAAGCTAAAATATTATGGGAGGATGGAATTATGAAAGATGACGGAAATCAGTGGGACAATCATGTTTTACATAACTAACGTTTGTTTGTTTAAAGGCATATCAACTCCTTATGGATCATTTAATGCTGACATTTAATTTTATTATGAGCATTAGTTATTTATTTTACAAAAAAAAAATGTATTTCTGGTAATTTTTTTTCTATGAGAATGTATTGCTGGAATTTTTACTATAAAAATGTTTATACTTTCATTGTGTCTTCACCTCTGTTTGGGAGTTAACTATTTGTCCATAGCTGGGACCCTAACAGCTGTTACTACCCTCGTTCAAGGTGGACTTGGGAACAACAGCGATTAAGAGATGGTTCCAGGCTCCTCAAAACCTTCCAATCAGAGGCCTTGCTGCCGGATGTAGTTTATCGTCATACCCAGGACGTTAGAAGCTTTAATTTAAACGGTGTGTATCTTATTGTTGAATATTTTTAGCATGTCTGTTATTGTTTAGAAAATAAAGTTTGGGTGCGTTTAATATGGCACGTATGTAGGTATGTAATTGTTTTGGAAAAAAAGGTTTACTTCCTCTATTTCCACTAATAATAATAATAATAATAATAATCTTCCCACCTTTATTACTTATATCACTAATTATTACTGATACACATTACTAAAATGGCTCACGTTTTCGTCTCCCAGCAACAATTTCTGCATTTAAATTTGTAATTCTTCCTCTCGATGGGGTTCCACGACGGACATAGCTGACGTCTTTACTATTTCGGTCACAGAAGCCTCTGACTAGACGAAGTCCAAGTCTAGAGTCACATTACCTCAGCGTCTGTCTATTACTTACGTATTAGTGGTATTAGCCTTAGTCTTAAGTTATTAGACTCCTGCGAATAAGTATTGCCATTGTGATTAAAAAGAAGTTTTAAGGAAAATGGAAACAAAAAGGAATCTTATACTTAGAATCAGAAAGAGACAGTTGAAATTTCATGTGTAAAGAAGGTTTGGAGAATCTGACATTCACGGGACATATTGAAGGACAGCGGAAATGGAGTGAATAACCTATATAAAAGGATGCTAGAACATGAATTGGGTGGGAGAACGAAAAGACAAACCTGACGAAGAAGAAGAAGATGATGATGATGATGATGATGATTCCGGATACTTTATGTTTTACCTACCTTCCAATGAGGAAAGTGCCTTGAAAATCAGCATTGGAAACAGGAAATTGTGGAGAGCCATGATTGGCGGCGGCGGCAAATGTAAAATAGATTCCGGATACTTTATGTTTTACCTACCTTCCAATGAGGAAAGTGCCTTGAAAATCAGCATTGGAAATCAGGCTCTTTATGCAGGTTTGCTTACTGTTAACGTTCGTGGTAGACACGCAACTAACTTAGCCACAAGACGCTGTACGCAAAAAATCTCCTCCTTCTTCTATGTGTCCTGTCTCTTCAGGATGTATGCGATCATGGCTCTCTACAATTTCCTGTCGGGTGTGACTCTGAGTAAGATTTGTCTTTTTTGCTATCTCTCTATCTCTCCTAATCCCTGTTCTGCCATCTGTTTGCACAAGATTAAGTGGATTATTCGTTTCTTTCCTCTCTCCCTCCTGTCTTTAATATGTCCTGTGAGTGTCCAATTCTCCAAGCCCCCTTTCGTCATTATGTGTCATAGAAATTTTAAATCACTCTCTGATACTCCATATAAGTGTCCTTTTTGTTTCCATTTTCCTTAAAACTTCGTCGTTTCTCACATGTTCAGTCCATAGGATTCTCAGCATCCTTCTGTAGAACCACATTTCTGTTATATCATGTCTCTTCTTAATCTGTAATGCGATCTTTCAGTTTTATTACGTAATAGTACAGCACTCTTTTCATTATTTCTAACGAAATTTTCCTGTTTCTTAATACTTTGCTTAGCTTTTGGAAGGCATCTTTCGCTATTCTAATGCGCCGACGGATGTTGGTGTTTTTTTTAAATTTTCTAGACAGTTGACTGTAAAGTTCTCTGCAGATAAATAGAAAAATACTGGTATAGACATATATCTCAGGAAGATCAAAGAATAGATAATAAAAGCCTCAATTTTTTTGACAGTTTTTATACTTAGTTAACCACGACATGTACTTAACCACAAGTCTTCCCACTCCAAGCCAACAACCTGGGCTGTCAGACACTAGCTTGAATAGTCTGAGATTAAAGAGTCTGTAATAAAAAAAAAAAAGCAAAAAACCATTCTCAGTAAGGAAAGTCTCAAGACTCCCCAAGTGTCATGCTTCACATGATTCAGGATGTCTTTTACAGACTTGCATGCAGATTAATGACAAGGAACTAAGAACTGCTGGTACAGCCATTGTTCTCGCAATGGTTTATGGGATTTAGCGTGTTTTTATTCCTCAGGTTATGTAATAATGTCTTTGAACAAAGCTGGGGTTAGCTAGCAGTGATGTCTTTGTGGACGACTGGAAAATAATTTGAGTTTTTTTTTCTTCTTTTTTTTCCGGTTTTGGAATCTGGAGAAGTAAGAAGTGAATATATGTCATCATTGGATAGACAATGAAGAACAGATCTTTCAAAGGAGGGGTTCTTGATATAAATGCCATTTGGAAAGCAGCTGAAACTTGCATGTTCATTTAGATAAGAAGTAAAACGTTTAAAACTTATATCCATTAAATTTAATTTTGAAACTAAAGTCGTATCCCAGTAATGCCATTCTTTTTCTTCTTACGTTTTATTTCTAAAGTACATTGCTCTTTTTATGTACTTTAGCACGTTGGCGATCATGGCCCTCCATAACTTCCTGTCTTTAAGGAACATTTCACTATATACCGTCCCTCTTTGACTCCGCTCTGCCATCCATTCACGTAAACCTGTTAGGGAGGTTACCCTATTAAAAATGTGCGTCCCTAGGGCTAAATAAGGTTTTGAATTTCAGATCTGTTTTTCTCCTAGACTAGTTGCCAAGTTTGACCTTCATTATTATTTGGTCGAGCTTAGCTCGGATATCCATGAGTCGATCACATCAACCATTATGGTCCTCCATCAAGGTCAGAAGATCATTATGATGGCATTCTGTGTCATAATCACTGGTCAATCTAGGTGGTTACTGGGCGACCAGTCCGTCTTGCGCCATGGCTAGGTGTCCAGAGAAGTATAATTACTCGCGTGTTCTTGTTTTATTCGCCAATAGTGTCCTTCAAAGTACCTTCTGCGTTCGGGTATGATTGTAGAAATAAAATAATAAACTTGACACTTCAGTTTGTAGTCAGAACATACAATCTATGGAAACATAACGGCTGATCGCATGGATATAATGATTAGGATATAGCATCTGGTTACAAATATAATAGATATCAATGGATGTACGGGAAATTAGGACTGGCGTTACGTGTTCAAATTCCGGACAAGATCATTTCCCACACATGTCCTTGATAAGGTCTGCATCCAACTCTTCTACCCCAGCTAGGGATTAATATTGATTGATTGATTCGTTTTCTTTGGCTTATCAATTTTTTGCAAGCCATAAAATATATTTGTAACAGTTATTTTTAGATAATAATGATTTCGCGATAAGAGTCTTACTAATTCACCCATAGCTGGGGGAGAGGAGATTGATTCGCACCTTTCCCAAGGGTATTTGCGCGCCAATTATACTAACGAACCCAACTGGAATTAGAACTCGGCTCTCTGATTAACAATTCTGAGCTATTATCCATTATACCACCCACACATCCAAACATACAGCTCCTGATATTCCTAAACATTCAACCATATAGGTACTGACCAGGCTTAATGTTGCTTAACTTCGATGATCGTACGGGAACAGGTGTTTCAACGTGATATGGCTGTAAGTTCTGGATAATAGAGGAAATACTGTTTATACGCCACGGATAAGGAGGAACTACTGCATATTAATCTGTGGTTCGCTTGTGCGTGTCACATTTATCTCCTGTTAATTCACCTCTCCAAGTTCTGCCATAACCAGATATTGAACTCACAACTCTTTGGGTCTAGTCACTGGATCTACAATATGGGAACTAGTAATAAGGAGTGCCAGAGAAAAGATATAATAACAACGAAAATTGCAATATGAGCTCTGTTAAAAAAACATGCAATGATAACAGCAAAAATTGCATGCAGATTAATGACAAGGAACTAAGAACTGCTGGTACAGCCATTGTTCTCGCAATGGTTTATGGGATTTAGCGTGTTTTTAGCAAAATGATAACTGGTAAAAAATTGTTGCTGAAGACATTAAGTTTATAAATCCCAGAAATTCATAGACAGATGTCGTTAAGGGATGGGGGCGTTGGTTAGATCCAGTGTGAGTTCAATATCCGGTTAAGGCAGTGGAGAACTTGTAGAAGAGAATAAACTTCTTTTACTTCTACTCAACAACAAGAGATAACTTATAACTAACATCCATTAGACATGGCACGTGGAAGTAGAACAGTCTACCCCAGCGAGCGAAATAATGGGTTCAGTTCGACATTCCAACCACCTGAAGAAGGCCGGAGCTTACAATGGCCGAAACATTGTGATAAATATGGCAACAAAGATGAGGACAATCGTCCGAGTAATGTAGTGTACGTAAAGTTTTTTGTTTTATCATTTGTTCTGCTGTTACATCTTTGCCAACTCTGATTGTGTAGGACGACAAGTCCCTTGTTGACAACTATTACGTTGTTCCTGTAGACTCCCTATGGTGTATAATGCCACGACGTTCTCCGGCTAGCCATTTCTACTTTGGAATCCATAGCAGATAGGTTTTAAATATGGTGGAGTTACTATCCCCACGCTCGATCGATTTTTGATTCAGAGTTGCACTTGTCCTAAACTAGTTGCCAGTCAAAGTTAGAGAGTCCAACATGGGGTAGAAAATTCATACCTCATAAAGGTGGGGTCTCGGTTGGAAATTGAACTCATAGGTGAGGAATTATTTCCCTTTCTTCACCCCCCCACCACTTTCACACAGATGCAACATCGCAAGCAGGTCTATACTCAATCATTATTTTCATGGCAAATGTTCCGACAATCTACATTCCTTAGTTCCACCAGTTCAGACCTTCACAGCTAATATGTACCATGCCATGTACACAGGGGTAAGCCATCCACATTCCTTTCATATTCCACTGGTAAGAAGAAATTTCTATTCGGACAGCTTATTCCCAAATGCCATTGCCTAGTGAATCTCCAAAGAGGATGTTTCCTCGACCACCACAATCTTAAACTCTTCCTGTCCATGGTCTATCCTTATCTAGCTTATATAGCCTAAATCTAAAATATTTACCTTCTCATGGTGTGCAGATGATGTAATGAATTAAGAATTTGGATTAAGAAGCCAGAGAGCCGAGTTCGATTTCTAATCAGGTTTGATACATTCACTTACACGCAAATACTCTTCGGAAAGGTATGAATCCACCACATCTCCCCAGGTAAGGGTTAAGTCGTGGGATTTGTATCTGGAAAAAAAATCATTCGAAAAATTGTTACACAAAAGAATTATTATTACACTCTAGAATATGTTTCTACTTTAAATATCACACAAAGGGTTGGTAAGCAGTAAAAAAAATCAATCGATCCTCTACTTACGTCTATAAAACAAACTCATTCAATAACCTTCTACCTTGAGTTGCACTTGGGGCTTGTTATTGAGGGAAGAACAGCATAAAAAAATAATTGCCGAAAGGAGAGAGAAACATGTCAAGAGTTTGCAAGGATTTAAGTGTTTATGTACTCATGTAAGATAAAATAATTTTCAATCTCACTTTCGACTGTGTTATGGAAAGGCATCTTTTAGCAAGAGATGATAGACTACAGTGATTATAGCTCCTGTTATTTGTCTGAGTATGTGGCACGTACTGATAAGAGAAAAGAGGATAAACTTGAAAAGAAAAAAACACATCGTGTAAGTGAATTTGGAACGGTAACCTCTGAATTGTAGTTTACATTGTTATTATTTAAGCTTAAACATTTGTGGATGTATTTTCTCTTTAAGATCAAACCCCATGCTGTTGTTTCAATTGTAATGTTCTACTTCAAGTTCCCTGAGATGCAACTTAAATAAAACAACTTATTCCTCAAGTAAACTCAACTCCATTGGGAAGCTTTTGCTATCTTAATTCTTTGACGCCTCACACACACACCCTGACAGAGAGAGAGAGAGAGAGAGACAGAGAGAGAAACATATATATTTCATTACTTCAAAAGTTATCTTTATTGGATACTCGTATTTGAGTAGACGCTCCGTTTTTATACATTGTTTATTTCTGAGTGCGTAGGCCGATAAACGTAATGAACACTATATATATATATATATATATATATATATAACGTCATCCACAGACAGACTGTTTCGCTGTTTCACAGTTCATCAGTGTGACTAGACATCCGGTTGTCTCTAGCCAGGATCGAAACCCGACTGAATTGGTGTCAGTCGGAGATTCTAACCATTAAGCCGTCGGCGCACGGAAAAGTGAAAATTTTAAGTGAAAAGTGAATTTTTTAGCGTATTTATTTTTACAAACACGCCCAGTTTTCGCATCTGCGAATTTATTTTATATATATATATATATATATATATATATATATATATATATATATATATATATATATATATATATATATATATATATAAAGGGAGCATCATCCTAAATACTGGTATCCACTAAAAAGAACGCTTGGAATAATAAGAACGTGTCGGATTAAAAAAAATAAAGTGCATTAATTCTTTATAAATTGTTTTATTTACGTTTCGGATACAAAACTACAGATGTGGCTTTCGATAAATTCTGAACAAGGGAATGTGCATTAAGGAAAATAAGAATCTTGCTTGGTTGCTCAGGTCTCCGTAGCCGAGCAGTCAAAACAAACCGGATTAGAGGGTGGTTTCTCCTATAAACGAGACACAGGTACAAATCGTTTGGAGTAATAAACATATTTCTGATTAAAGAACAAAATATATATATATATATATATATATATATATATATATATATATATATATATATATATATATATATATATATATCACAGACAGACTGTTTCGTGGTATCACAACTCATCAGTGTGACTAGACATCCAATTGCTTCAAGCCAAGATCGAAACCCGACTGATTTGACTTCAGTCGGAGATTTTTTTTTTCCACTGAGCTCCCGGCAGAGAGGAAAGTGAATTTTTACATATTTATTTTTGAATAAACACGCCAGTGACTCAGAGTGCTCTATTCATAGAAGAGCATTGCATTATCAGCAGTCGTCACTGTTTACAAATTCGCGCTTTCCCTCTAAATTACTCGACCGAATTTTATTTTTTCGGGAGCGTATATATTGTCATCCACAGACTGTTTCGCTGCATCACAGCTCATCAGTGTGGCTAGACATCCGATTGCTTATATGTATTATCAGTTTAAACGTTATTTTTTTAGCGAAAACTCGTATTTAAGTAGACGCTCCGTTTGTTTATTAAACAGTATTTTTTATTTATTTTCGATTACTAGCCTGAATGTTCGAGAAATTTTATTGAAGAAAAATTTGCGCTCTCCGGCAGAGGGAACTGCCGTTAGACCAGACACGCTCTAGCCAACTGAGCTACGAAGAACAGTCAGACAAGTTTTTCTCATGTTGATTTTGGAACATTTTACGTATATACTGTTGCAACGCGCTTCATAGCAGTTACAATGTACGTAATACTTCGGCAACTTGCCGTGATGCTTGTATTACTTAGTCTGAAAACTGACTCCATAAGATTTCTTTACCAAACCTCCCCACAAGGCAGGATGTGGTACAAGGCTGGTTTTTACATGGGGCGATTCTGAGCCCGTAGGGTCGGGCAAAAATTCCCCTTAGACACCGCATACAGGGAGTCGGGTTTTACTGGAACGAGACGCGTCTGGGTTCCTCTCTGGCTGAAGGCAGAGAGTTCAAGTCTGCCGCGAGCTTGACAACGATGTGCCTCACTCCAATCGGCTTCATTTTCTTACCTCTGATCTGGAGCGCTTTATTTATAGTTATAGACTAATTCATATTGTCATCAGGGGTGTACTATTTGCTCCACAACGCATTTTAGATAAACATACGTTAGATTATTTAAAATGAATAAAGGTTGGTGATGTAAAATAATGTTTTGACATGTGTTTATTGTTGTTAATATTGTTATTTGTAGGTTTTCGAAGTACTTTCTTCGTAAAGAATTATGTTCTTTTTTAATTAGGGTGGCATTAGTAAAATCAACGTTTTGACCGGTTTTGTTCCTGTGTATTATCTAAAACAAACATGCCACTTCTATCCTCAAAAATCCCAGAGCATTTTCCTTACTGAGTTTTGCAGCTAGGAAAGAGGGAAATCTTTGCTCAGTAATTCATCAGTCGACATGGGACAAATGTGGCAGATTCGAATTTACAAATTTAAGAAAAAATAAAAGGCTTTAAAGATGAGAAAAATTCAAGTTTAAGGAAGCCAGAAAAATCAGTTGACTAGCAAAAATATAATCGAAGAATCTGGTGTTGAGAGAACATGTGGAAAGTATTAAGACTCAAGAAAATGGAAATAAAAGGGACACTTACAATCAGACAATTAGAATCAGAAAAACAGCTGAACTTTCTAGAACACATGTTGAAGAAAGACGGCTTGGAGACTCACCCGACATATTGAAAGCAAGAAGAATGAAAGCAGATAACAACCTACCTAACAAGCTTGATGAAAGGATAGTGAAAAGATACACTTTACTAAACGCTACAAAGAATAGGAAGTTGAGGAGAGCAATAATCGCCCACGAGCTGAAAGGACACAACATGAAGAAGAAGAAGAAGAAGAAGGCTAATGACATGAGAGAAACCAAACTAACACCTAG